TTTTTACATATTTATTATTTTATATTTTTTACATATTTAATATTTTATATTTTTTACATGTTTAATATTTTTTTTACATATTTAATATTTTTTTACATATTTAATTTTTACATAGTAAACATTTTTTACTTATACGCATTTTTATTTGCTTTATGAAATACCACTTAATCTATCACTTAACAACGTGATTAATAATTTTATTATTGTAAAAGGAATTTATATTTGCTTTATTTGATAGATATCTAAAAAAAGGCAGAGAAGACTAAGTTAAAGCTTTACATATTATGGTTCAGCAATTTAGCATGAAATTTGTTTGATCATGATTAATTGTTAAACATATAAACACAAAAAAAAAGAAACTCATTTCGTAAAAGAAATGTAGCCATTAAATTTTTGTCAAAGCATTCTGTATAATGTTTTCCTGAATATTTTCAATGTACACAATAAGTCAAATCAGTTTAGTTTATTTGAATTACCTTTTGCAAGCATTTCCTTTATCATGTGTTCCTTTTCTTTTTACCTCATTTATAGCAGTCATAAAAATCTAACATGTATTGTATGCTAAAACTGAAATTTCTATTCACATTTCCATTACTATTTTGAAGCATTGTAATAGTTTCTGGACATTCCCTTAACATTTGCAAGTGAAATATTCGGACATATAACTGTGCATGTAGCAATAACGCGCAGGAAACCCGAGCCGATTTTACGTATTTAGGATTGGTGAGATGTTATGTAATACTGCGGACGGGGTGTCTGGATTTCGACACTTCCAAACCAATATTTATCTTACAACAAGTATTTCCTCTTTAAGAAATGAAGCGCAGAAATTGGAAAAGCTGGTAAACACTTTAACTGCTTTTATGCATTGTTCAATGATCTTCTCTTTGACCTTGAACTTAGATGAAGTTTAAGGTGTGAGGGACGCCCGGATCCTTCTTTGATTTCTGCCTGATCGTTAAAAGAGAATAGTGACAAAGATATATTCAGCATGTTTTCAGCGTCCTGATGGCCAAGTGACTAGTTAACACAGGCTTCAGAATCGAATTATTAACAACATCCATGCCACGGCCAGGATTCGATTCTGAAGTCTGTGATACCAAAGCGCTAACCAATTGGCCATCAGGTCGCATAGTTATATGGCATAAAATACAATTTGTCATGAATACTAATAAACTAGGAATTTAGTTCATATAAAATCAATTAATATATATATATTTAAGATAAGTAAAAAATATATTAATTAACTACATTGATACAGAAAAATGGTCTTTTTGTTCTGTAATACAAGTCATGGGGGCCAACAGCTAAGTGACTTGCGCTCTGGCTCTGGATTCGGGTGCCGTGGATGTTTGTAGTGGTTCGGAATCCACTAAGGTCTCAGCTTCGGTCTAATATAACTGCCGGGTGTAGGGCTGACAACCCCTACTCAGTAAAAGAGAACATCGCCTGTCTCGAAATCTGCCAATAGACAAACGACCTTGACCCACAACGGGGTTGTTGCGCCAATGAAGAAGAAGAAAGTCATGATCAGAGAGGACAATGCGTTGGATTTCCGAACTGGGTGCAAAACTTTGTAAGAGAAGCCGAAAGCTATTGTGCCTATGCCAGCAATGGAGGCGATAAATCGGAAAGTGAAAAATTCTTCCGTTGAGGTCAAGGAGATGAGAAAGAGGGTGGAAATCTCTAGATGCCACTCTTGGAAGTGTAACAAAATATAGGTGTAGTGTAGTTAACTCCCGCAAGACACCCTAAGTAACACTGCGTTCAATATCAAATTGAAGCTTGGTTTCTCCAGAAGGCAAGAGTGTTTGTTCGCTCTAAATTTCTGTGGTACCGGGCCCCAACATAGTATGTCTACCGAAGATTTGGTTTCTTTGCAAAATATTCAACAAACTTCCCATGCTCCTGAAGAATGCGTTGAAATGTAATAACTGCCCCGGTATCAAAGTAAGATTCTTCCATTATAAATTTTTTTTAATACCAAATTTTAATCTCGATATACAAATATTATCCCGGAATTTTTCTACCAGAAATAAAATATTTCTCGGACTGTTTCTTAATATTATAAACACAGCCACTCAATTTATATAAAAAGTCAATAACTTATATTGGTACTCATGTAAAATCATGTAAAAAAGCCAATACTTTTGTTTTAAATGACCTTATAATATCTAATTCAATTATGTAACCCTTAAAGTCAAATTTTAACAGAATAAATCAGTCCGTGAAATTGCTGAACAGTTTTGTTTATAAATACGTTCGCTCAGTTATGTAGTCAATTAACATGAAAGATTTTGGTTACAAATTATCTATATTTAGTTAATAGCTGTCTGTATTTTAATTTCATTAATAAATTAACAATATTAAATTAAATAAAAAACATGAATTATTATTTCTACATTTTACATTAATTTAAATTAAAACTGCTTTTTTTACAAATGTGTGCATATTTTTACATTTTTTTTGCGATATTTTTCTATAAGGATTGTTGAAGTGGATGATTTTTAACTAGTAGTTTAAAGGAGCAATTAAAATAATTAAATTTGCGAAATTCTTTTTCTATACAATTCTTTTTTTATTATTTGCAATTATTTATTTATCTACTTTGGTTTGAAATAGCTTGCGTTTAATTTCAATGGGAATCTGCTACGTTTTCCTTTATAAAAATAACGCATCTCTCTTTAAATGTAATATATATATAATCTCTGCCTTACTGGATACCAGCGAAAAGACATTTCAAGCCAAGATCGTTGCGTGCCTATTGTTAAAATGATTGTCCATTCCTCTATATATTAAGTAATATTTCCTGTTTATTGAATAGCGTTTCAAGGGCGGTGGTGTTTTTGACCTTGCTAATATATTGTTCGAGAAACCTTTAATAAGACATTGATTATTGTATTGATATGGATCATTCTGGATCAAGCACCTTTGCCTCTTTCTGTGCAATTACCTGGTTCCACTTACTGGGTTCAACGATAAAAAAAAAAAAAAAAAAATCAAATTTTGTGGGCTTCAATATTGCTATCAGAAGAATAATCACATAAATTGACAATAAAAATGGATATTCCTTTAAAATGCTATTTGTTATCGATCTGCTACTATGTGAAAGATTTCTGGGAAAGAAAATAACAATACCAAAATCTACGTGACCTGATGGCTAATTGGCTAGCGCTCTGTTCTTTGGTACTATGAGTTTCAATTTCGAATCATGGTGGTGTCATGTATGCTTGTGAGCTATTCGGAATCCACCACATTAAACTGTAGGTCCTGGTCTATTTACCCTAAAAAGAGTACAAAAAATGACTGTAGAGGGACAAATCGAATTAAAATCTACAGCATAAAACACCAGTTTTAGTTCCTGAATGTTTCTTCTTCATTGCCACAACAGCAGCATGTGGGCCAGGGGCCTACTGGCAGATTCGAAACCTGAGATGTTGTTTTCTTTTTGGGTGTATTGTTGTCAGCCCTACTCTCTACAGTCATATTAAGCCCGGACCTGCGGTTTAAAGTGGATTCGAACCATTACAAACAACCATGGCACGTCGGGACTCGACCCCATGGCACCAAGAACCAGAGCACAAGTCACTCGGCCACCAGGCCCCATAATCTGATTACAGAATTGCTTAAAAGTAAATACTACAATTAAGTGGAGGGGGGTTCAGCTATGTAAACTTCTATGTTTCCTTGCATAGCATATATTATCGCAAAGAAGCACAATTTACAGAAAAGGTTCTTATACTTTCATTTTCTCGAAATACTTAGTTACGACATCCATTGCATTTTTAGGAAATTATTTAGAAGGAATTTAATAGGAATAATAATAGGAATTTCATTATTAGGACACTATCGTATCGGATGATATATGACGTTATGCTAAAGCTCATATCTGTAAGATTTAAAATAAACCAGATTTGTTTTTCAAATGACATGTATTTTTTTCTGAAGTAATTTGTCACTATAATGTTAATATGCAGCAGATGTAGCGTTATTCAGTGTAGCCATAGCAGGTTGGCTGTAATGCACCTTTTTCCACCATAATTTGGCCCTATATCTGCATTATTGTCTTTGCTTTGTGCCTTAATTTGGGCATTTGAAGTTTTATTTGTGCCCTTCTACTCCCTTCCTTGAACCTAACGGAAATACTTTCTAGCGTATACATCTCCGGAACAGACATCATATTCAAGAGTAAACGTAATAATTTTCGTTTCTGTCGTGTTTTGAATCCGACAAGTAAATAAAGTATGGTTTCCGCTAATTCGAAGACTTAACAGTATATCCACCAAAACTACTTTGGAAGCAATAAATTAGATTTAAAATAATATAAAAGAGAACTTGATTGATTTTAGCCAATATTGTATGTAAACAGAATGAAAACAAATTTTCTTTAAAATTGCTTTCGTGTATTCAAATGCAACGAAAAGGTAAACAAAAAGTAAAAAAAAAAAAAATCTCTAAAGAAATGAATGGAATAAATAATAAAATGTAATAAAATTTTAGAGATTATTTTTTATTTTTAGTCATCTACAATTACGTTTCCCATTAGATAAACGGACGGAAAACTGTGAAAAAAAAAAATCTGCTTCAGTAAAAAAGGATGAAAGAAAGTAGCTGTGCTAACAGAAAACTTTAAAATTAGAATAAAAAGTTATGGTTTTAAGGAAAGCGCTGAAGGTTAAGTAGGAGAAAGAGAGCATGAACTCGACATGCTGCATAGATATCTATGCTATAGATCATATATTCGAAATTCCTTTAAATATCCACGAATGAGTATTTTCATTTTATTGCCTAAATTCGTTTCAAATACTTTATCAAAACTAACAATAAAATAAGTTTCAAGAATTTAATTATAATAACATGATATTCCTAATGATAGAATGAGGAATCATCTATAATAGAACATTCTTAAAAGAATAATTTAAAAGATGTCGTCGTAATATACTATATAAGAATTGAATGGATATTGAATTTAATATTAATATTAAAAAATAATAATAAGTGAGGGTGTAGCTCAACGGCAGAGAGTTCGTTTTGCATACGAAATGTTCCGTGTACAATCCCCGGCACCTCCATGCATAACATAATTTTTGGCGGTGCCATGGATGCTTGTAGTGGTTCGGAAACCACTTTAAACCGCAGTTCCTGCTCTAGTATAATTGTACAGCGTAGGACTGACAATCCTACTCCGTAAAACGAAAAACAACATCACATGTTTCGCATTCTGCCAGTAGGCAGAAAGCCTTGGACCACCATAGGCCATGCGCCATTGAAGTTGAAGATTTTATTTGGGGCCTGATGGCCGAGTGACTAGGACGCTCGGTGCCACAGGTTTCGGGTTCGAGTCCCGTGATGCTGTGGATATTTATAGTAGTTCAGAATCCACTTTAAACCGTATGTCCCGGTCTAATAAAAACTGTAGAGGCTTAGGGAGGGGACACCCCTACCCTGTAAAAAGATAAAAAGTCACCTGTCACGAAATCTGTCAGTGGGCACAAGGCTTTGGCCCACCATGGGCTGTTGCTCTAATGATGATGATGAAAAAATAGAATTTGAATGTAATATTTAAAATAATACTACTTCTTTTTCATTTGGCCCAACAGCCCCTTGGTGGGTCAAAGCCTTGTGCCCCACTGACAGAATTTCGAGACAGGTGGTTTTTATCTTTTTACAGGGTAGGGTTGTCTCCCTAAGCTCTACAGTCATGTTAGAATGGGACCTACCGTTTAAAAGTGGATTTGGAAAACCTCTACAAAAATCCATATCATTCTCGGGAATCAAAACCCGAAACCTGTGGCATTGACTCGTTTTTGTCATCAGACCCATTAAAAAATATAACTTATATACATAAATTATAATTATTATGATTGAATTCTTCTAAGATGAATTTTGATTTCTAAAAATATTCGAATTGGGATAATTTTAACAACTAACCGTTAATGTTTAAAACAGGCATGTGTTTTAGTTTCCTTAGGATGCGTTTGAAAATAAATATAAACATTAAACAATCTAATTCAATTTTTTTCTGTACCCCGGTGGATCTTTATTTATTTATACCATTCTATTTATATGTACAGTGAATTGCACTACCGATGGACGAAAACGGAGGGCATTGCCTTGAGGGAGGAATTTCAGGGCGTAACCGCTGAAAGAGTTTACTCGTAGTAGGGAGGAAAATTCCTTCTAAGCATCTTGATTGTCGATGCGAGACGCTTGTACAGGCTGGCACAATCCTCTTGAGTCTCCTCGTTTCTCAAAATAATGATTGCAAGGGCTGCTGCCCGTTCATTCGAATCTGATCCTTGAGCATCCCCGCGTTATCTCTGGGGCAAGAATTGGATAATTAACTTTAATAATATTTTTAGAATTGATAAAGATTTATAATTCTGCAAATTTAAATGAAATCGAATTAAAATCTCTAATGTTGAATATTTTTTTCAATGCATTTTTACTTGTTTATTGTATTGTCACTATTGCCCTCTTTTTCTCTGTCCTCTTTTGATGGTAAAAGAATATTTTTTATTGTTATAATTTCATTACTAATATTTGATGTTAAACTTGCACACCTTCGATACGTATTATATTTACGCACTTATAAATGTTCTTCTTCTTCATTGGCCGAACAGCCCCATAGTGGTCCAAGGCCTTCTGCCTACTGATTGATTTGGTTTGTCGCCCTACTGTCATTTTATGCACACTTTAGGCTAATTAGACCGTGACCTATAGTTTACCATGGATTCCGAACCTCTAATAAGCAACCATGCCACCACCAGGTTTCGAACCTGAAACCCGTGGTACGAAAGATCAGACAGCTAGCCAATTGTTATCAAGCTACCAACATTCACAGAGAAAAACACACTTGTATAATGCCAGTACAGTAAAGCTGAAGAAAAATTTAAAGTATTTTAGAATAAAAATTAAAAATATAATATGATATTAAAATAGGTTTAACTATCATTTAAGTGAATTAAATTAGCAACTATCTATATTCATATATAAATTACATAGTAATTTTAATTCAATAAAACTTGTATCTTGTCAAAATGCTCTTTTATTTTTAATCTCTTTTCGGATGTGATTTTATTTCACCATATAATTAATTTTCTTTTCTCAGTTGTAAATCTTTTAAATAGCTTTCTGGTTTCTTCCACAAGTTTCGAGTGCGAGTCCGTCGGGGCCATGGATGTTTTTAGTGATTCGGAATCCACTTTAAACCGTGGTTCCCTGTTTCATGTGATTGTAGAGAATTAGGCGTAAAGGTGACAATCCTACCCCATAAAAAAGAAAAACATCTCCTATCTCAAAATATCTCCTTAAGCAGACGGTCTCGGTACACATGGGGCTGTTGCGCCAATGAGGAAAAAAAGACGAAAATGAACAAAAAAATTTCAACAATCATCGAAATATTAACATTCTCTAATATTGTTATTAAAATGTTTATAATGAATTTTTATCAGATGTGCATGCTATATTAATATTAAAAACTTATCTTCATTCTCCTCCTGTCCTGAAGTTTTATTTTCTTAGACAAGTTTACTTTTATGTATCCTCAGTACCTCTATTTTTATATATGCAACGCCCACTTAAAGTTTTCAAAGCATATTTTCAAGTATAACATCTGCTCTATTATAATCTTTGAGAGATCTATGTGGGTGGATACCCGAATGATTAGTTATCTGGTGCTCGGTGCCATAGGTTTCGGTTTCGAGTCCTGGCGGTGCCATGGATGTTTGTAGTGGTTCCTGAATCCACTTTAAACCATATGGCCAAATTTATTATGACTGCATAGCGTCTGGCTTACAACCCTACCCTGTAAATAAAAAACATCTCATGTCTCTAAATCTGCCAGTAGGCTGACGGTCTTGGCCCACCATGGGGCTGTTACACCAATCAGGAAGAAGAAACCTTTTAAAAGTTATGTAAACCTAAAAACACACTACTTTTTCCAGGAAAATTAAATTATTATTATTTTTGCGTTGTTAAGAAAATAAATTTTCTCTGGTCTGGTTCATATGCAAGGAATATATGAATACTCCCTACTCCCTAAGGTCCTGATTCTCGGCCTGTCTTAGACCTGATCTAATAAACTGTTGCCTACGCTTTCATTTTTTTTTTCTCCATTTCGGAATATTCTCGGACTTCAAAAAGCACCCCAAAACCTACTCAAATGTTTTTCTAAGATACCACATCCGTTCGCAAAGTGACAATGTGTGAAACCGCTAATCAGAGGCATCTTAAAAACGGAAACAAATCCCAGCAACGAGAGCGAGAGTGAGAAAAAAAGAGAGCTTACGCAATGCTTGAATCGTCTTCTTCAACGTAATTTGATGGAATTGCCTCATTTGCAGAAAGATATTGCCAATTCGTTTTTTCCACCACTGAAATTTTACTATCGCACATTTATGGATTGGCTAAAAAATTATTTTGAAGACATGTTCATATTTCCTCAATTACTTGACTTCGGTCACGTATTTAATGATATGGGTGTTTAATATAGAAAAATGTTTTATAGGTGGGTCATTTTGTTGTAGACATTACGTCAATGGCGAGTGGGTACTTTTAACTAGTCAGTAACGGACGGCTTATAAGGTTATTGCGATTTATTGAATTGAAAAGCAAGACAGATTGCTATGATGAAACGAAATGAATGAATTATTTTTGTAATAATTTAACTCATGATAACCATAATGATAAAATTTCGATTCTTAAACACCTTAATTAAATAATTAGTAATGAACACGATTCAGGAAATAAAATAAATGTAAATAAATATATCATTTAGCATTTGATGTTATACATATGCGAAAAATAAATGTAACAAAACCATTGTAAAAATCATCAACAAAAACACCACGAAGCATTTAAGTGTGAAAGAGCGGAAAATATCGTAGCCGAAAAAGAAGGTACTGAGATATTTGATCTAAATATCCCGATATCACTGATATCAGCGACAAAGGAAAATTTTCACATACGAGTAGTGGACGAATGTTTTTTAAATTAACTTTGTCAGAATCTTATATCATTATTTTATTTATCAGCATTTAATATTAAGTAGAAATATGCGCGATTCGGGGGCTCAGTGGCAACGTACGCCACTGGTGAGCATTAGACTGAGATTCAATCTGTTGGCAGCTTTGTTGTAGACAGTGTTTTAAAAACGGAGGAGACTCGATGGCGTTTGGGATGTTCAGCATCTTACCTCGCTAGTCAGACTACCTAGGCGGAGTTTTCCGATTTTCTCCCATACTATACCAAAATGCGGAGTAGTTCCTCCTATCAATTCTCTTGGAAGGCACTGCCCTCCCTCTTCAGCGTCAATGAGCCAAGTCAGATTTATATCTACAAGCTCTCCATCACAACAGAAGCTGCCCTCTTCCCTTCTATCCAGTAGAGTAGATTCCAGTAGAGTAGATTGGGATGTCCGTCTCGCGCTGCCAGACATTGAGGATTAAACACAATAATAAAAATATTTATTGGAAATAAAAAGAGTATTGCTTCTAAATTAATACTTATAAACGGAAAGAACAGTTTCTAATACATAAATTGTACCCAATATTTTAAGTTTTATGTATCGGATACATATATACTTTCTCTCATAAAGTTTTTTATAAGATGATATTTTAATTATCACCTAAATAATCATCAAAAACTTGTGAAGGCTCAAGTACTTACTGTAATTTGGCAGCAACCCCTACACACACAGAAAATATATAACTGTGTCTAACATTTCCTTTCATTATAAATAAATGACAAATGAAAATAATATATTTATGATATTTTATTTCTTTATAAATGTTTTTAAATTATATAATAAAAAAAATTTATTATCTGATTGATAATATTACCTTACTTTAATGAAATACAATGTTTCCGTATTTGGTTTAATTTTTGTAGTAATCAAGCGCGAAAGTTATTAGTCAAATAGTTTTAATAAATAGTCAAATAGTAATAAATAGTCTTTTTTAAACAGTCATGCTTTTAAAGATGCTTTTTCACAAAATAGTATTGATCTTCACAGGCTTATGCATTTAATGTATTACATACATGCAATATTACATTACATGCAACAATCGCA